AAACAAGCTACTAGGTCTTTGATTTGACTCAGCACAACTGTTATGTTCATGTTAGCAATGTAAACAACTTCTGTTTGTGTACCTCCAGAAATGTGTATTTTCTGATTCTGAGATAGCAAAACGGCCCATCCCTCATGCTTTCAGCTTAACAGAGTACCCAAAACTTCACAGCCAGCAGGCTAGGCATTAAGCAAAGCATCTTTTATTTGGGTTTTACTCTTTTGTTTTTAGCAAGTAGGAAAATTCTTGGCTTCTATTCTGTAATTCTCCTGAAAAGTCATTCCCTCTGATCAAATTTTTCCGTTATAAAAATACAAGAAGATGTCTAAACATTTGTGTGCTTTTGGGGTGTGTGAGAAGGGAAGCTTACCTTTTTAACATTTTCAAGCCTTTCTTTACAGCCGCTTTATGGAGTTTTGAGTAACTTAAAAAGCTACTGCTAGTTGGAACAAAACTAAATATTGTGCAAAAAGGCAAATTTATCTTTTTAGATTTTTAACTATGATTCCTTCAACAAGTAGCGTTGAAATAAGCAGTCCTGTTTGAGTAGTAACTCAAAACCTCTCAGTGCCATCGGTCCCACATAGTCTTTTCTTTTTTTTCTTTGTTACTGAAATATTTTTAGCATATTTCTTAATGCTGGGTTTCTAGCCACAGTATTGAAATAGAAAGCTGTGTACTCTTGTTTCTATAAATTTAATTACCACAGATAGGAAGATTTTAGGCAAGTAAGCTGCTGAAAGATGTTTTTCCACCATTCCAGGTGCTCCAAAGATAACGATGTGAAAAAAAGTTCCTCTTGTTTCTCTTTTAATATGGCAACTTGTTAATTCAAATGTATTGAAGCAGGTTTATATGCAAGGGAAAATTGGGAATTATTATTTCTCTTGACTGTCGTTTCCTTTCTCTTTTATTTTAGAAAAAAGAAATCCACACAACGAAAAAGGTTAGTAACTTTGTTAAATTTTTTTTTATTTTATTTTTCCAGGGGGAATCCAGTCTTCCTGGTTTATGGTTTTTTTTTTTTTTTTTTGATAATTTCAGACACAGTGCAGCAAAGCCCCTGCATTTGTGTAAGCATCATCTTTTTATACAAATCAAGGGAGAAGGGCAACAAGTCAGGAAAAGATGAAAACATAATTGAGTTTACATTGCAATGTGAATTATTATGTGGAACCTTCCCTTCTTTACTGTTTTCTCAGACCTTCTAAACTGTATCCGAGTTTGTAAATATATCCAAGTTTGTAAATACATGATCGTGAGCTTCTGCCCTTCCTCTCCTCCCCATCCTCAGTCGTAGTTTGATGTCTGTGATGGTTGATTAGCACGGAAATGGAGCAAAGGACAATGGTCAGGGGCTGTCAGTTTGCTGCCTTCTTTGACCAATTACTTCCGATTTCTAAATTTATTATCAAGATAAATTTACTGAATTTCCACTCCCATTTGTCCCCAGATTAAACAAACAGCAAAAGCAACAAGATTGTGTAACAAGGAGAGTGGAATTCCTTGTTTTGGCTATCTTTGGACATTTTTTTAATATTACACACAGGAATACTTTTCACAGGTTGTTATAGGCATCAGGTCATTCAGCTGGCTATGGCAAGAGTGAGCTGGACACCACACAGATATATGCAACCCTTTGGCTAGAAGAGCCCAATGTGTTGACCCTAGATCTAGGAGGTTTACTAAGCTCTTCTGTACAACCACCAATCTGTTGTTCATTTGCCACGGGCTAGTTCTTGGCTTGCACATAAGGGTTGATAAATACTGGAGAGGAGCTTGAAGTTCTCTGTCTTCTTCAGCCCTCTTTGCCTTCTCTTCACCCCATCTCCCTGTTCAAAGAAGGAAAACCTGACTTGTTTTATTTAAGCCCTGTAGAAGCAGGAGACTCTGAAATGTTGAAGAGCCTCTCTGAAATAATTTCAAGTTAATTGTACTTCTGCAAAGTACTTTACAACATTCTGTCTCCAATTCAGTGCTGACTATGTGCTGTCAATGCCTTAAAGTCTCCAGATACAGTATAAGTGTAATCCTACATATTAAATTGCTTCAAATAAATTTGTTCTTCAGATGGTTAAGGCATAGTTCCTTCAGACTTCTTGCCCATCCAGAATATGAATGCAATAAAGTGTGGGGTTTTTTTTTAAATCGGAATATAGGCTGGTAAGTGAAAAAAATGCAAATTACAGCCAGAGTATCTCCCTTAGTGGCACCACATCTTTCGCTAATACTGCAACTTCTCTTCTTTCAATATGGTAAACTGTGAAATCTGAATGATTAAAATACAGGACAGTGATGAGTGACATTTTTCAAAAGTACTCTTTATTAATCTATTTTTGCTCCCATTAGGTTTATGAAAGTTTTAATAACAACTTCAGCTAGGGACATTATTTGAGTACTTTTGAAAAGCCACTTTTATAAAGTAGGCTCTTTCAGGCAGGAATTCTACAAACTTCCATGAAAACAACACCTGGTACCTCAAGAACTCTTAATTGGAACCTCTGGGAACAGTCACAGAACAAACTATCACAGAGTAAGAACAAATATTTAAATACAGAAAACTGTAAAACTAGACTTTCTTCTTAAATCACCCCAAAAAAATGCAGTCTGCCTTTAATCCATTTGATTGTGAGTTTAGCAAGTTTAGTTTGTGTTATGGTGCAATCAGCATTGGAAAGAGGGGTGCAGGAAGTGGATTTCAGCTTGTGCAGTAGCATGTGAGGCTGAAGGTAAGTGCAGCGCTGGATGGTTTGGTGGAGAGATGCACTTGGAAAGCTGGAAGAAGATGAAATGATGATTAGAGTATACATGGACTTGTGAATGAGCTTCATAGCCCTTCTGTCTGAAGGTGTAACTGAAACTTCTAGAGGTGGGTGTCCATCTCTTCTTAATGTTTATGTTAGTGCCCTGTGAAGCGCTAGGTCAGCATTGCTGAATTTGAGAATTCTCTGACTTTTAAGGGCCTCGACTCTTAGTTCAGTTTTATTTGTAGTTTGAAATCAAACACTAAAAAAACCCTTTTTTTTTTTTTTTTTTTTTTAGATACTGGTATCTCGATCAGTAAAAATTGCAGATTTTTTTAATCTATCAAGTAGGAAATCAGTATTGCTGGAACCACATAGGTATTGTCAATACATACGCTTGGCTCTATGCCATATTATGAAATGTTGTGACTTCAGTAGTATCTTTTATTCTCTTGAATTTGAAAGATTTGATAAGGGGGAAAATAAGAATAGACACTAGTATCTTCTGTATATAATCCCATTATTTGCTATTCTGTTTCCTGAACTCACTCAGGTGTCTGACTGTAGAGTTATTTCATGGTTTTGTGCATCTTAACCCTTCTGCTTTGTTGAGCAGACCTTTATTTTGTCATGCCTAAGTCACACACAGTTTTTGGAGCTTACAAAATTGGGGGGTTTATGTGACTCAGAGTCACTTGAATAACACAATTTCCTCTTCTCTCAGTCTTTGGAAATCCTGGGAGCTATTTAGAATGCTGCCTTGCCTGGCAGTAATAACACCTCCTGTAAGCATGAGCTGGCAAAAGTCAGTGTTCCTGCCTAAATAATTTTGCTGTTAATCAGCTGCTAACTTGATCCTCAGTCGAGCTTTCAGCTTGCTTACTGGGAACCTTTTCAACAGGTGCATGTTGCTTGTTCAAAGTTTGTTATCTTTGCTGTATCCTGTTGTATGCTAAGTGATAAATTATGCTTTATTCAGCCTCGCTTTTCGTAACGTTTTCATTCCTAAATGGGTTATTAAAATTCTGTTATGTTTGCATTTTCTGTATCCTTGTTATTTCGGATGTGAATCCACGTTTTAGTACTTTGCTGGAAAAGCAGCAAGCATTTTCAGAGGTTTGAAAACAGCACTAAATACTGTTTTTATCTGTACACAAAATGTTTCTTTTCCCCTATGGTGTTCCCTTCTTAGGCTCCTGATGGAAACCAGTGCCTCCATTTGTTGCTTCATTAGTCTAGAATTCGTTGCTGTATTCATGTCTGTCTTTGTATTTTGAAGTACATGGACTGCTCGCTACAAAAAACTGGTTGGCACTTGAAAGTAGTCACGTTTCTTCTTCAACTTTTATTACACAGCCAGGCTGGAAGCTAAATAATTATTTGGAAAATTGTATAGCTGGTTACACTGGCAACAAAGATATTTCTAATTTCTAGAGCACCTACTAATAAAGAATGATAGCGTATATAACTATAGACGTTATTTGGCATACATTTAATTTCTTTTAATCTATGCCCAAAGAATTTTTAAAAGGGGAAGGCTGGTAGGGAAAAGATGACCTAGCATAATTAGTAAACTTGAAAAGGTGAGATGTTTGCTAAGCTTGAGAAAGAAAATCACCATGAAATGGAATTAAGAAAAAAAAAATGGATAAATTACTTTAGTAGGGTTTCACTTATTTATAAGTTTGATTTGCACTGCTGACCCCAAAGATTTTTTTTCTCTGTTAGTATGCATTATTCTGTGGCTTAAAAAAATGTAAAGATCTGAGTAATAGCTCTGTTTGGGCTGTTAGAACAGGGCAATATATTGTGGAAGGATTGGGAAAGGATTTATAGGTTTTTAGTTTACTCCTTTTCCCCTAGCCTGTCTTAAAGTTTTGAAGGGGAAATAAAAATTAATAGAAAATGAGTTCATTCAAGTATAGTTGTATTATCTAAGCCTAGGATTAATTGTTTTACTTCTGTCAAAAAACCAGTACCATAAACCACATTATCCAGCGTATTTATGCTACATGCTCCTAGTACTCAATATATACAGGAGAACTGGAAACACGGGAGAGAAGGATACCTGAAGCTTTCTAGGCTTGCTGAAGTTTGAGGAGTTAAATAGGGATCACATTTTGAGTGAAGTTGGTATAATGTTACTTGAGAGGTCTATTTTTTTTTTATTTTTTTTTTCTTCTCTGTCTGTGCTACTGTGGCATGGAAGTTGTGGAGTGCAGGGCTCCTGTGGTGCTTCGTGGCAATACTGATGCGATTTTGCTATGCGTTGTGTAGAAAGGCATTAAAGATGCTGTCTGGAAGGCACAGCTCTCGTCTGCCTGGGACCCGGCTGGGTGAAGGCATTGGGTGCACAGCAGTGCAACGTAGGTTGGCAGAAGGGCCAATGGCTCAGCTGCTGGTTTGGTTTGCTCAATGATTTTTCTCCTTTTTCCTCCTCCTTCATCTTCCCCCCTATAAACTAGCAGGAAGGGACAAACACTGATGCAGGACAGACCCATGAAGTATTTCTATCTCTGTACAGTTGTTAGTGGAAGAAAGAGAGGTTTTCACAGCTGGCAATCAAATGTTGTGTATTGAGGTAGGACAGGATTTTTCTTTTTCTCTCTTCCTCTTTCTGGCTACTACTAACTTCAAGTTATAGGACTTTTTCCAGACATTTGAAAGTCTCTTTTCACTACCACAGTCTAGGAAAATTGAATGCCTGTTAATGAAGAACTTTAACCTTTTACAGTCAATCAATCCTATCAACAAACTACCCTGTAGGACATTAGTGGCTGTTCCAATGGATTGCATCTTGCTAAAATCACAGTCTAGTAGTCTGGGGCTCATTTGTTAAAAATATGAATTGCACTTAAACAAAAATATGACCTCTTCTCAGTACTGGCTACCTGGAAAGACTGCCAGATAGTCTTCATTTAACTTTTTCCTCTGTCTTGACAAGACATCACTGATATTTTCCATGTGTTTTCTTTTTCCTATCTCAGGGGATTGCCAGTCCCATTGGACAGATTGATCTACAAGCCAAGAAAAGAGCTCGGCTCTTTTTTGTCTCAGACTTGCATTATTTTTAGTTTTTCATAGCTCTGTCTTCCAGTATGTTTTCTTCTTTATGGTAAAGCCAGTTTCTTTCTGTTTTGTTAATACCTGTTCACCTTCTAACTCATAACCTTTCCAAATGACTCGTTGAAACACCAGCTGT